TGGCTAAAATGTAAGAAGCATGAAGTCAGTGCTGGTTCCCAAGAAGGGCTTTCCCCCTAATTTTTCAGGAAGAAAAGGGAAAAGAGAGAAAGTGATAAAAGGGAACACTGCCCATTTAATGTTGTCTGGTCCCCCTCTGAAAATGCCAACTATAGGAGATTGGCTTCTCATATTTCTGGTGTTGAATCCTGAAATCATGGCATCACTACTTTCCTTACTCATCTTGGGTGTTTATTAATTAAACATTCTAAAAATTTCTCCTATATCCTGCTCCTTACTGGTCCAGAAATGCTTATGGTCAAAAACCAGCCCTGAGGCTCATTAATTCATAGAGCCCACTTCATTATTTGTTTTTGTTTTGCAGACTGAAGGCCGGATGCGGGGGCCCAGTATGGGGGCTCCAGGAAGAACCAGCAAGAGACAGTCCAACGAGACTTACCGAGATGCTGTGCGAAGAGTCATGTTTGCTCGGTATAAAGAACTTGATTAAAGGATGGAGACAAGTCCCATAGGACAGACCTCCTTATTTTGTTTGTCTGTCTCTCCTTTTGTTTTGTTACTGTTCTTGCTGCTAGAACTTTTTTAAATAAACTTTTTTTCAATGTGATTTTTTTGGTGGTTAATTTTTCACCCATAGATGGGTGGGGGGTGGGGCTGATGGGAGGAAGGGAGAGAGTGCCTTGGTGTGGGCCCATTTGAGGTGGTGCTGAAATGGCAAGGAGTGCTGCAGTGAGCCCTAGAACACTGCCTCTGTCAGTGTGAGTGGACGGGTTGCAATGTCCTTTGAACTCTAGCTTGTATGAATGCTGTCAGATTTTTTAAATTATTTTGCTTTAATTAGTGAAAATAGCATCTCATTACTGTTTGTTTCCATTTCTTCACTAACTGCTGAGGCTGAACGTATTTCCATATGTTTCTTTGCTACACATTAGACCTTCAAAAGTTGTCTTCTGACTTCCCCATTGTTGGGGGTGGCGGGGTGGGGGCAGAGTGTGACAACTCTGAGTACCTGCTGGGTGCTCAATGCTTCACACGTTGTGATCACCACAACAAGTTGGCATAGTAAGAATTACCACTCCTCTCCAGCCACTGCCCCAGCTCTTCTTTCCCTCCATAGGTAAAACTCTCCAAGGAGGTGCTTGCCCTCTTTAAAATCTTTCTTAATTTCCCATAATATCACTCATACCATTTCAGAGGGTTTGCTTCAAAAGTGAGGTGGATTTTTTGGTTTTTTTTAAATTCTTTGCAGTTAAAAGGACAGTATCCTTGGGGCTGGCCCCGTGGCCCAGTGGTTGAGTTCATGCACTCCGCTTTGGCAGCCCAGGGTTTCGCTGGTTCGGATCCTGGGCGCGAACATGGCACCACTCATCAGGCCACACTGGGGCGGCATCCCACATGCCACAACTAGAAGGACCCACAACTAAAAAATATATATATACAGCTATGTACTGGGGGAATTTGGGGAGAAGAAGCAGAAAAAAAGAAGATGGGCAGGAGTTGTTAGCTCAGGTGCCAAAAAAGACAATATCCTATGAACCTATTAAAACTTTAAAAAATAATTCTTCAAGGTAGCACATTACAGTACTAAGAATTGCACTTTTCACATGTCTTGGGAAAGAATATTTCTTAGGAAGAGAACTGCTTGTTTACAAGAGCATCTTGATGGTGTAAGGCAGAAGTTTGTAAGTTTTTCTGTAAAGGGCCAGAGTTAATATTTTAGGCTTTACAGGTCAGGTGATCTCTGTTGCAACTACTCAGCCCTGTTGGAGTGAGAAAGCAGCCATGGGCAATACATAAACAAGTGATTGTGACTGTGTTCCAATAAAATTTTATTTACAAAAACAGGTTGCAGGCCAGCATTGGCCCAAGTGTTGTAGTTTGCCAACTCCTGGTCCAAGAGCATAGTCTGGATGCATAAGGCAGGACCAAGGAGGGCTCTGTAAAGAGAAAGGGGGCAAGGATTGGCATTTTGGAGGAGATGCACAGTGAAGGGTGGGAGATATAAGGGGAAGTGCAAGTATACCAAAGAGAAAACATTTCCAGCAACAGGAATGGTAAATGTGAATTTAAATCGTTTGCCATGCTGTGTCCAGATATAATCCCTTTCTTTTAATCTCTACTAAGTCTTTTTACCCCTCCAAAAGGGAAAACAAACAAAATCAGGTGCACATTGGCTTAGGGATCAAGAGCCCCAGGTTCTGGGTCTTGTTACCACTATTGCAGCATTACAGGAGATGGGCCATTTGAATCTTTCAGCCCCAGACAGCTGACTCCAAGAGCCCTTCTGGTCTAACAGATGGTCCACAGGTACATCTGTGATGCGTCTCATTACTTTCTGTCTGACCTTCACTGAGTAGGTCAAAATACTTTTTGGAAGCTGGTCCAAACTCTGTGTCATCCTATTGGGCCTTTAGTGAGCTGTGGAACATATCAAGTGCTTCACTATTGAAGACTCCTGTAGAGGCTACTTAGTTGACCCAGGTTATTGGCAGCCCAGTAGAAGCACCATCAAGTTATTAAGTGGTCATTCTCTGAATGTATTGAGAGCCTACTCTACTTGTTCCTGGGGCTTATAGCAAGACTAGTGTCAGTGTCTGTGCCCAGGGGACTCAGTCCACTGAGGAAGATGGACACTGAGCAATTACTGATGTGATGAGAGCCTCGGGGGAGAAGTACAGCAAGGTATTAGGATGGTATGACATGGCCTTGATTCTCATTGGATAGCACAGAATCTTCCCTGAAGGAAGTGTTTAAGCTCAGACCTCAGAGACTAGTTTGGGCCATTGCCTAATTTTGTTTTGTTTTCTTGTTTTATTTTTGCCACTTTAATGGAAATTTTTCTGTAATACATTTAAAAGCAGTACTTTGGGTATTGATGAAAGTAGGAATGGGTGTGAAAAGTGTCTCACCCTGTGATGTCCCTGAGAAGTTCCCTGAGGCATTTGATCAGAATGCCAGCTGCATAAGGGCAGGGATCTTGGGTAATTTTATGCACTATGTCCCTAGGTCCTGGCACAGGGCCCAACACAGTAGGCACTCAATAAGTGAGTGAATAATCCTGAGCTCATAGGTCTATGGAAAATACTTGTTGAATTAAATTTTGATTGCATCTCTCTCCTTCATTTCATCAAAGCCCATCTCTAGGGGCCGGCTCGGTGGTACACTGGTTAAGTGCGCACACTCTACTTCGGCGGCCTGGGGTTCGCCGGTTCAGATCCCTAGTGCGGACGTGGCACCACTTGGCAAGCATGCTGTGGTAGGCATCCCACATATAAAGTAGAGGAAGATGGGCACGGATTTTAGCTCAGGGCCAGTCTTCCTCAGCAAAAATAGGATTAGCAGCAGTTAGCTCAGGGACAATCTTCTTCTTCAAAAAAAGCCCATCTCTGACAAAAGAAATTATTTTAGTTTCTTGGTATAGGCAGGCGTTTTCACATAGATCTTTTTTACTTTATATTCTAGAGCAGTAGTTCCCAGCCTAGGACAAAACATGTTAACTAGTTTTTTCTTTTGCCAAGTCATGGAAGATTAAGAAAAAAAAAAAAAGACCTATGATCTTCATTTCATTAAGAGGAGAACTTTTTTTGTTACATCAAAAAAGTAAGAAAGGGAGACCAACCTGGTGGCATAGCAGTTAAGTTTGCATGCTCTGCTTCAGCAGCTGGGGTTCGCTGGTTCGGATCCTGGGCGTGGACCTACACACCGCTTATGAAACCATGCTGTGGCAGCATCCCACATATAAAATGGAGGAAGATGGGCACAGGTGTTAGCTCAGGGCCAATTTTCCTCAGCCAAAAGGGAAGGATTGCTGGTGGATGTTAGCTCAGGGCTAATCTTCCTAAAAAAAAAAGTAGGAAAGGCAATCGTAAGGAGTATCCTTTAGACTATATTGAACACTTGTGGTTTTATTTAAAACAAAAAAAAAAAACACAACTAACTCTCTTGTCTTTGTTTTTTTTTACTTAGCTGGGGACTTGTTAAACTTTTCCAAACCCATATCAACTGCCCGACAGGCCTTTGAGGGCACAGCTCTGGAGCTCAACAGGGCAATGTCCACAAAGGTCAGCTATCAGAATTTAGAGGATAGAACTTCCCACTGAATGGAGTTCACTTTTTTCTCTTGGCCCCTCCTTCAAGTTTAAGAGTGATTTTGTACCGTTTATGGACAGTCATATAGCTTTTATGGCTGGTGAGGAGCCCAGCCTAGCAAGCACCTCAGGGAACCTCAGAAGTGCTTGTTGAACTACTTTGGGAATGAGGCAGTTGACTGCTAGTGGCCATAAAGTCTAGCAGGTTCTGGATTCTTGGCGTCTGCATCATCCACTGCAGGATTGCAATGACCTCATCTATGTTTAACTTTTGAATTTAATTAGACAAATATTCAATTGCCTTCTGTGGATCACATACATTTGCTTTTTTCTGATGATAGAAGTTTTACATATATATATTCCCCCAATAAGTTGGAGATATATATATATATATATATATATATATGAAAAGGTAAAACTATGTGTGTGTGTGTGTGTGTTTTATAGATAGTGCTATGGACTGAATGTTTGTGCCTCCTGCCCCAAATTCATACGTCGAAACCTAACCTCCAAAGGTAATAGTATTAGTAGGTGAGGCCTTTGGGAAGTGATCAGGTCATGAGGATGGAGCTGTCACAAATAGGATTAGTGCTCCTATAAAAGAGATCCTACAGAGCTCCCTAGACCCTTCCACCGTCTGAGGATAAAACAGAGAAGTCTGCAACCAAGAAGACAGCCCTCATGCAACCATGTTGGCACCTGATCTTGGACTTCCCAGTCCCCATAATTGTACAAAATAAATTTCTGTTTATAAGGTACTCAGTCTGCGGTATTTTGTTAATAACAGCCCAAACGGACATAGACAGGTAGATAGATAGACACACAGACAGATCTAGAGGTGGAAAAAAGAGAGAGGGAAAGGGAGTGAGGAAGAAAGTTACCCATTATTCCAAAATACAGAGATTTGTACCGTTCCATCTATTGTCATGTTTTTAATTACCAGAGTTTCCAGTGTCAGTCACTTAATGCCCTTGATGTAATAAGCCATAGTTAGAACATGTTTAAAGATGCTTTTCCAGGAAAAATATTTTCCAGTATATTTGAAGCTTCTGGTTTGGAATCTCCTCATTGACATCCTTCCACTTATTCTTGAAAGAATTCTTATCTAGAAAGAGAAGTGAGTAGTATAGGTGCGTTTTTCTATAACTGATATCTTTCTTTGCCTTGTCATGGTCTAATTTTTCAATCTGTATATGTGACCTGAATAATCAGTTCCACTAAAAATATCTAGAAGGCCAGAAGGCAAGTTATGCTAACTGGATGCATAGGAACACCACCATCTCACTGACAGTCAGGGTCTAAAATATCTCTTTGAATTGCTCAAGGAGCCCTGCTTCTTTCTGCCACAAACGTTACAGTTTTAGCTTTGGCAGTGTATTCATTTGTTCATTCAACAAATATTTATTGAGTGCATACTATGTTGCAAACACCAGTAGAGGCTCTGGGGATATAGTAGTGAACTAAACAAACAAAAGTTCCTGCCCTTCTAGAGTTTATGTTCTAGTGGTTCATGGACTCTGAAATCCAGCTTATTAGTTGATAGCTCCATTCCACCACTATTCCCTCTGCTACTGTCTGCAAAACAAGAATAGCGATGACGGCTTTGACCAGGTGGACAAAAGTTGAGGCTGCTAGAAGTGGTCAGATCCTAGATGTATTTTGAAGGTAGAGTCATAATTTCCATAAACCTCAGTTTCCTCACCTTAAAAGTGGTCTTAAATAACATCTCATAGGTTATGAAGATGGAAATAGATATTTGTGAAGCATCTAGTCCTGTAATCTAATTTAGCGTCCAATAATACAATAGACGATCAACTAACGTTCCTTCTCTTAAAGCCGGATTGAACGTGAAGTTTTACGTCGTGCCAGTGAAAGCAATCTGTACTCTCTAAAGCCCCCGTAGCTACCGCAAAAGAATTACTACGCCTCATTAAGGTAAGAGTTCTAATCCGGGTCTGCAAAAGGCAGACTGGCGACTCCGCCGTGGTGTTGGAAGAGAAATACGCAGGAAATTAACACAGGGAGTAATAAGTGACAGGCAGCTCTAGCGACCACACTTCCCAGCAGCCCTCGCGCAGCCAGGAACCTTCGCGGATTGGACGCCTCCTCCGGAGCGGCCGGCGGGGGGAGGGCACAGGCGCGAGGTACAGTGGGTAGGAGACGGTCGTCGACGGAGGCGCCATTTTGTGAAGCGGCCGTAGTCTTTTGGAGATTCTGGGGTACGATACCGCTGCTTCTGCTACTTCGGTCCCTCCTGGGGGTAAGTACGACAGCCGTCCGTAATGACCGGCGGTTCTTGCTGTTGGGACAGGCCCTGTGGAGCTTCCCTGTCAGCCGCGGGAGGCGGCCGACAGCCCCAGCCGGGTCTCGAGAGGCTAAGCTACCGGAGGCGTTGAAGGGCCGCGCCCCTCCTAGCCACCGGCGCTGTCAGCGTTCAGAGGGCGTTTTCCCGCCCAGCCCCGGGCCCGCTTCTTTCGGGCTCTCAGTGTGCCCCTGCCGGGACGTGTTTCCGATTTCCCAGCCCAACTGAGCGCGGAGCCGTTGCCTGTCTCTCGGTTACTCCTTGGGGGCACCCCAGCGGTCTAGTCGCCATCGCCCCGCAGCTGCACCTGAATCCGCCCTCTCCGGAAGGCTGTTGGGTGAAGGCGGATCTGCGGGCTGGGAAGCTCTTGGGGGGCGGGAGGGCGTGTGCAGGGAGGAGGGGGAAGCGGGACGCCCGAGTCTGTCGCGCAGGCCGTGGCGCCGCCATCTCGGCCGCGACACCCCACGGAGGTGGGTCCAGGCTCTGCCCACGAGACGAGGGGCCGCATTTTCGATCTCCCCAGGGCCTTGTTTCTCTCAGATGGTTCTCTTCTGTTTATTAGTTCAGCAAATGTTCGTTGAGCTCCTGCTCCAGAACTAGTTTCTCGGACCTCGCACGCATCTAACGCTTTCTAGCTGTGTGATGTTTTATCACCTCCAGGGCGCTGCGGGTCCAGGCTGGGCGCCTCAAGGGCCTGTGGTGGTCAGGACTGGCCCAAGACGTGGTGAGGGTTGTTACCGAGGAATTAAGTCGTGTTGAGGTTTGCTCTTGTCTGATGGAAAAGCTTTGGATCAGCCGTTGCGTTACAAATGGAGTAGATTTCAATCAGCTCAGCATCCCGGCTTCTGAAAGGTTTTAAATTTTTCATCAGATATTTTTGAATTTCATATTGCTCCTTGTGTTAATAAGGACACTGATTAATGTTGTGATGGTCACCTACCCCGTTGGAGTTGCTTTGCTTTAGAACACAGGGAGCTGATTGCAGTTCTCTCCTTTTTGCTTTGTAATTCTAAAGTAGGAGCAGGGAAGGAGTCTTTTGCTTGCATCCTTTTATGGGTTTGTTACTGAATATGGAATCTAATATTTTAAAGTATGCTTCCTCTTTCTGCTATGCTCATTGTTAACAAACGTTAGCATGATTTTAATGTTGACTGTTGGTCCCCACCTTAGATAATCACTATTAACAGTTTGGTGAAATTCCAGCCTCAGTAGTCCCAGTTTACAGAACAATTGAATTAAGTGATCTCTCAGATTTGCAGCAACCAATCTCTCTTGTCTCCTAGGAAAACACAAAATTTGAACCTTTGGGAGCAGTGTGTTAGATCTTCAGTAGGACAATGGGTTCAGACAAACGGTAAGTTCCTGCTGTACACACCTTTGATCTCAGCATTTCATTAGGAACTGAACAATTTGTTAAAAATTGTTCATCAGACAAATATTTGAGTGTCTTTTTGTGCCAGCCATTACTATGAGTACCATGATCATCCTTGTTCTCAGAAGCATGTAGTTTAGAGAGAGAATTAAAGTACTGTGTGAACTGTGCTGTGATAAAGGAAGTTGAGGGTGCTGTTAGAACACATAGAAAGCATATGTTTCCCTGAAAACAGCCAGGAAAGCTTCCTGGAGAAAGCATTCTCTAAGGTGAAGCCTGAAGGGTAAGTAAGAACTCGACAAAGGAGGGCAGGGTGGAGTGGGTCACTGAGGGTTCCTCGTGTGGATAATAGCCTCTGCAGAAGCCAGGAGATCATGAAGTCTGGCACTTTGCACAGTACCTGGCTGTAGTAAGTAATCAGTGAATACCAGTTCTTGTTATTGTCCCCTACATAGCAAGATGATCCAGATTTATAAAGCTGAAAAGGTTTGGATCATGAGTTACATGGGAAAAAAAGAAAAATTGCTGAAGAATTAGTGGAGAATTAGGATTAGAGTGTCTGGCTGCTGTGTCATCTGTGGATTCTCCCACTCAAACCATTTGATTTAAATATGTAACCTTTACTTATTTAGCCACCTACCTCCTTGGTATTGAGGTCAGTCGCAGTGATAGATTGAATTGGTGGTCCAGAGGGACTCAGGAAATGGTTCGTGTCATGTGTCGTCGTTTTAATGCTGTCAGCAGTCTGTGATTCCAAATAACTTATTAAATTAACATTTAGCCTTTTAGATCTCTCATCCCCATAGTTCACATCATGAAATAGTCCTAGACTACTTGTTTCATTGGTTTCTTTTTACTAAACTTGTATACTCTAAATGAGGCCCTTATAAACCTTTCCTTTGTCTTGTCCTTACACGATAGTTTTGTAAATCTGGTAAACAGTTTATGAAAGAACAGTATCTGTGGTCAAACGACTTTAAGCCTCTTGTTTAGATTTTCCTGTGAAGCCCAGTGCTGCCCAGTAACCAAAAATAAACCAAATGTTATAGGAAATAGTGTTCTCTGATGGTGCTAGGTGGTTAACTAATTGGTTAACTGCCTGATGTAAAAAAGACTAATTTAACTCATCTAGGTTATTGGTCCATTTCCCAAGTAGTGTGATACCCTTGAGGAGTGAATGAGTAAGGAACCGCTTTCCTTTGAAATTGGGTGGAATGCTAATAATTACTTTCTTCCTATCTTTGATCACTAGATACCAATCAAGGATGAAAGGGGTGATGTGTAGACCACAGGCTTGGGAAAACACACGATAAACTTGGACAACCTGACCCTTTTTCAAAAATATTAAACCCAAACATTTGATAGCTTTATTTTCAGATTTAACATCAATTCTTGAAAGTTATCTTTGCATTTAGGGATGTAGATGTCTTCCCAGTGGTTGTCTTTGTGAACTGGAATTTGGTGATAAGTATTAGGGGGTACATTAAGCTATTTGGATGTCTTATAAACTGAGCTGTGGGTGTGTGTGTTGCCAACCTTGTTTTCTAAAGGTACAAAATGTGATTTATTTGAGAGTAAATGAAAATTATTTTCCCTGGCAGAGTGAGTAGAACAGAACGTAGTGGAAGGTATGGTTCCATCATAGACAGGGATGACCGTGATGAGCGTGAATCCAGAAGCAGGCGGAGGGACTCAGATTACAAAAGATCTAGTGATGATCGGAGAGGTGATAGATACGACGACTACCGAGACTATGATAGTCCAGAGGTGAGTAACCAGCAACTGTATGGAGTTGTTAGAATTGTGAACTGTATGCACAAGACCTCCGAGATTCTTGAAATAAATATACCAACTGTGGAAATCTCTCCTCTTATTATATGTAAATTCTCTATTCTAAAATCTGTTAGATTGACTATAATCCTCAAAGACAAACTGAGCCTTATAGTAATAGAAATATTGGCCAAGGTTTACATAGGGCTCACCATGCACCAGGCAGTCTTTTGAGCACTTGACTTACGTGAACTCAATTAGGTGCCTCTATAACCCTATAAGGTAGGTGTTATTCCTAATTTAAAGATGAAGCGGGGCCGGCCGCATTGCCCAGGGGTTAGGTTCGCATGCTCTACTTCAGCAGCCCAGGATTTCACAGGTTCAGATCCTGAGCACGGACCTAGCACTGCTCATCAAGCCATGCTGAGGTGGCATCCCACAGGCCAGAACTAGAAGGACCTACAACTAAAAATACACAACTATGTACTGGGGGGCTTTAGGGAGAAAAAGGAAAAATAAAATCTTTAAAAATATATACAACTATGTACCAGGGGGCTTTGGGGAAAAGAAATAAAAATAAAAATCTTCGGGGGAAAAAAGATGAAGCAGTCGGGGTATAATACAGTCATATTATTAGTCATATTAGTGCCACATAACATTTCAGTCAATGACAGACTGCATATACAATAGTGGTCCCATGGGATAAGTGCCATATAGCTTAGTTGTGTAGTAGGCTATACCATCTAGGTTTGTGTAAATACATGCTAAGATGTTTGCACAGTGATGAAATCGCCTAATAACACATTTCTGAGAACATATGCTCGTTGTGAAGCGATGCACGACTGTAATATACTAGCCCTATGCCTCAGATGGTGTTTCTAAAAGTTGTAGTTCTAGTCATCTTAGCATAACTTTTTTCACTTTCTTATTTATATGCTTACATAGCTTTGTTTAGAAGTAATTGTGCTGCCCATATAATTTTGCAGTTTTCCACTTTTTCCATGCAATAATATTCATATTGTAACAGGTAATAGTTGTCATTGAATTCATATTGTAACAGGTAATGGTATTTCATATTGTGTGTTGGTGCACTACACATTGTTAAACCATTCTTTCTGAACTAAATGATCATTGCCAGGTTTTTTGTTTGTTTGTTTTTTGCTGTTTTAGAAAACATTTCAGTGACCATCATCATGGAGTTCACCTGTGTCATCTCTGTTGTCCCTAAAGTTAAATTCCTAGGCCTGGATCAAAGGGTATAAATCCAGTGTGATTTTAATTGTAATTTTGTTTATTGTGAATCAGAGAGAACGTGAAAGAAGGAACAGTGATCGATCTGAAGATGGCTACCACTCAGATGGTGATTATGGCGAGCATGACTATAGGCATGACATCAGTGATGAGAGGGAAAGCAAGACCATCATGCTGCGCGGCCTTCCTATCACCATCACGGAGAGCGATGTAAGGGGAAACAATAGTTCTAAGAAGCAGTCCAGTGGGCACAACAAACTTTGAACTTCTCCCATTATTTCTCATGTCATTGTTTTATCTCAAGC